CATGTGGGCTGTGCAGGTCTTGCTCTCACTCACACTAAGGTGCTGCTGGGTCTAGCAGTGGTCCTGACCAGAGCTCAGACAGTAGGCCATGCACCACAGCATGGGTTGCCACAGCCAATGCCCCAGAGCAAACCCACGTGCACAGCAGCTAGAACCACAGAACAGCACAGGCTGCTGAATCTGTGGCACAGGCTGCTGGTTTATCCCTCATCTATTTTTTCCTTCTTGAATAACAAGAGTGTCTTCATGTAAGTATGTGGCTATCTAGGAAAAAAATCTCCCAAACCATTTTCTTGGCCTCGCTTGCAGCTAGGTATGGTCACACATACTGTGTTTACTGAGATAAAGCCAAAGTATTACGTTGACACTTTCTAGACTCTTCCTTAAAAGAGAGTTGCCACATGTCCTTTGCTTGCTTTTTTCTTTCTTCCTCTTTTGACCTTGCCGCCTGGACGGTGGATGTGATGTTCGTGCTCTGATCACCACCACAGAACATGAAGACAAGGGCCAGACCTTATGCTGTGGTTTGAATGTTTGTCCCCTCCCAAACTAATGTTGACATTTGGTTGCCACTGTGGCAGTGTTTGGAAGTGGGGCCTGCAGGAAAGGGTTAATATTGTTGCGAAAGGACTTTCTTTTTTTTTGAGACAGAGCCTCAAGCTGTCGCCCTGGTTAGAGTGCTGTGGCATCACAGCTCACAGCAATCTCCAATTCTTGGGCTCAAGCGATTTTCCTGCCTCCGCTTCCCAAGTAGCTGGGACCATAGGCGCCCACCACAATGCCCGGCTATTTTGTTTGTTTGTTTGTTTGTTTGCAGCCATCATTGTTGTTTGGCAGGCCTGGGCTGGATTCAAACCCACCAGCTCAGGTGTATGTGGCTGGCGCCTTAGCCGCTTGAGCCACAGGCGCCGAGCCTGAAAGGACTTTGTTTTGGCTCTTTTGTCACATGAGCAGCAATGTTCTTTCCTTTGAAGGATGGAGCATTCGAAGTGCCATCTTGGAAGAAAATAGGTTCTTGTGAGACACCACACCTGCTAGCCCCTTCCCTGCTAGCCATAGACTTCCCAGCCCCCAGAACTGTATGATCAGTAAGTTTGTGTTCCTTACAAAATAACCAATCTCAGGTATTTTGTTATAGCAGCACAGAACAGATTAAGATACCCTAGAGAGCAGGAAAGAGCCTAGGCCCCCCAAAATTCTGTGGAATGGAGTTCTGTATGTTCTGGATTTTACTTCTACCTTGTCTGGCCACTGCAAACTGAGTCTCCCTAATCCAAATATTTGAGATGCTCCCAAATCGGAAACTTTCAGCACTGACATGACATTCAAAGGAAATGCTCATTGGAGTATTTCAGATTTCAGATTTCAGATCAGGGACATTCAGCCAGTGAATAGATATTCCAAAACTCGAAAAAATCTGAAATCTGAAACACTTCTGGTCCCAAGTATTTTGGATATGGATACTCAACCTGTGTTATTTTGGGTTTCTGTTAATAAAACAATCCTGGTAAAGCATCTATTAACATAACGTTGAGCTAGACACTTATAATTTTTGTACTTTTAGCTCTTAAAATTTATATTAAAACAAAAACACAGCCTCAATGAAAGAAGCCAGAGTGGCACCTGTAGCTCAGTGGGCAGGGCGCCGGCCCCATATACCGAGGATGGTGGGTTCAAACCTGGCCCCAGCCAACAACAATAAAAAGATAGCCGGGTGTTGTGGCTGGTGCCTGTAGTCCTAACTACTTGGAAGGCTGAGGCAAGAGAACTGCCTAAGCCTAGAAGTTGGAGGTGCCTGTGAGTTGTGATGCCACGGCACTCTACTGAAGGTGATAAAGTGAGACTCTATCTCTTAAAAAAAAAGAAAGAAAGAAAGAAAGAAGCCAGACTCAAAAGAGTACATATTGTAAAATTCCACTTATAATAATTCTAGAAATAAATAAATAAATAAAGCCCACTGTATTTCATACTTTAAATAGATGTAATTTAATTATATGAATTATACTTAGAGTTGATTTTCTAAAAGGAATACCTCCTTACTCATTAAGAGATTAACATAGAAGAGTTTGTGAAGGACATTCCGAAGGCAGTAACAGGTACTGACACAAAATAATCATGCATAATTCCTTTCAATTTTCTTTTTATTTTATCCTTGTAGGGAGCTGTTTTCGTATTTTTTTTCTACTCAAATGCCCCCTTTTTTTGAGTACAATAAAGATAATGTACTTTGATTGGCTAGTATGAGAAGATTACTAAAGGTTGTTTTTTGTTTTGTTTTGTTTTTTATAGAGACGGAGTCTTACTTTATCGCCCTCGGCAGAGTGCCATGGCGTCACAGCTCACAGCAACCTCCAACTCCTAGGCTTAGGCCACTCTCTTGCCTCAGTCTCCGGAGTAGCTGGGACTACAGGCGCCTGCCAAAATGCCCAGCTATTTTTTTGTTGCAGTTTGGCCGGGGCCGGGTTCAAACCCACCACCCTCGGTATATGGGGCCGGCGCCCTGCCACTGAGCCACAGGTGCCACCCAGATTACTAAAGGTTGTTGATGTGAAAAAAAGTAAACTGTAGTAAACCACTCAAACAGCAAGATCCAGTTTTTGTTTTAAAAAGGGGATGTATACATATGTATAGGCAGTCCCCGAGTTACAAACATTAGACTTATGTACTACTCATGCTTCCAAATGGAGCCTATCACCGTAAGTCTGTGATTTACAAACATACAACTGATAAACAACTTGTGCTTATGAACAGAGGCTGTTACAGGCAAAAGATAAATGTACTTGCTCGAACTTACATACAAATTCAACTTAAGAACAAACATACAGAACCTGTCTTGCTTGTAAGCCAGGGACTACCTATATACACGCTAAAAAGAGCATAAGGTGGGCAGTGCCTATGGCTCAAGGAGTAGGGCACCGGCCCCATATACTGGAGGTGGCGAGTTCAAACCCGGCCCCCGCCAAAAACTGCACACACACACAAAAAAAGATCGGAAGGCTATACAACAAACATTAACAGAGGTTATTTTCAGGATGTAAGATTGTGAGTGATTTTCTTCTTTACACTTTTCTGTTGTGTGAAATACAATGACTATGACTACTTATATAACCAGGAACAGTAACTCCAAACTATTATTTATGTAATGGCTATTTGTCCTTGCCTTGGCAGGCTCTGACAAGGGGGCGGGGGGGGACATCATTTCACTCACAGTGCCTGGATACAAACCAGAAAAGGCAGGTGGTACGTAGTAACCAAAGAAAACCCACGCTCCCACTCCAACTGTGCCAGTATTTGCTACCACCGAGTCATTCCCTCTCTCTGGGTCTCCTTTTCTGTACAATATGATGATTGGACTCAATAACAGCCAAAGTGCCTGTTTCTCAGATTTCAAAAATCCCAGCTCGGATGCAAGCTGACAGGAATGATGGTAAATGATCTATTTTCAAAGGATGGGGAGGACATGGGGGGTGATAAAGGGTTCTCCACCCTCCTTTGCCTCCGTTGAGTTAAGCAGGCACAGATCCACTTGTAGGCGTCCTGCCAGCAAAAATGAAAAGCCATTCTAAGTTCAGACGGGAGACCAGCATGAGCTCCTGTTAGCAGAAGCTTTTCCGGAGCCCTCAATCTAGACTCCGTCTCCCCAGCCCCCTCTGTTCTGGGCAGGATTTCACAGCTTCTCCACCAACTGCCCCAAACATCCAGTCACTTAAAAACAGCTTTGGAGCAGCTCAGACCAACGCTGAGCAATTAGGCTTTCATGATGCCCCCTGCTGCTGAGTGGTCATTAGTTTAATGAAGGACTATTAAAAACACATAAAAATCTCAACCAACAAAAATAAACAAAACAGCCAAAGCCAGCATCTTAAACGCATTAGCAGGGCCTGCACACAACGTGGAGACTGCCCCACGTTGGCTTTTAGAAATGTGCACGTGCTGCCTGGGAGCTCATGCCTTTAATTAGCTTTAATTTCTTAAATGCTCACTGTGTATCATGACCGCACATAATGTACGTATTATTAATTCTAGAGAGTAGTTTTAAATTCTTACTAGAGGAAAAGAAGTACAGCTTACAAGAGTAGGAAGACATTCTTAGGACTTTGGTCTCCTAAGCATTCTTCCCGCCTTTGTAATTCTCACCTGACAAAGGCAGGTGAATGCCAAGTTGCCCAGCTTCCTCTCCAGGTGCTCAAATTACTGAAAAGTGACTCAGACATGATTTAAAAGGGTATTCAAATCGAGACCTCTTCACCCCCAGCCCCAACCTCCCTTGTTGTAGATGGCAGTGAAGGCTACTCTGATGCTGCAGGAGAGGTGGGAGAAAGGATCGGGCAGCTGCTGCAGCCCAGCTCACCGCTGGCAGCTCCCACAATCAGGACAGAGGGAGGGATGGGGACCCAAGACTTTAAAAAACAGAAGCCCAAGTGCAGAAACTCTTCCTTCTTTGCAGCAAGCCACTGGCCAAACCAACAGAGGCTGCTTCTTTAATCAGACCTTTTCCCCTTTAGAGGACAAAGATAAAACTATTCTAGAAAAAAAATCCCTCTGTCAGCAGCAGATTATTTTTTCCGTTAGCAAGAGCAACCAGCCAAGCTAGTGGAGTAGCACAATTAAATGGGGACAAGTTCCTTTTCCTGCCCGGGATGATAGGTAGGAGAAACACATGAATTAATAGAATCATTTGCTCCTGGATAAAACCTACCATTAAGGAAGTCTCAGTGCTTTCCAGATATTAATGCTGCCAACTTTCCAAAGGCCAAAACGTCACAATTCTCCCGTATTTACAAGTAAAAGCAAACCATGAGTAAGAAAGGAGCTGAACCACCCAGGAAAGGCTGCAGCAAAACAGGAAGTTAGGAACAAGGCTCTCAATTCACTATTCTTTGCTGAAGTGAGTGCCTGGAACACAGAGCCCATTCTTCGGGATTAGATGCCACAATGCTAACATTTGCCTTGCTTGCTTAACTCCTCTCCTAGAGCAGCAATAACAAGGCTGACTTTACCTTAAGAGCACCACAAAGTTCAACAGTGTCTGCATCATCAACCACAGTAATCCGAAAATTTGGAGTCTGCAGAAGTTCTTTGAAGAGAAGGCCATTCTCTATTACTTTGCTGCCTATTGAAAGGTTAGAAAAAAAGGAAATTAGTCACCGTCTCTAATCTTAATTTTCATATCTAACGCACTTTAACTCTTTTTTATTATAAAAGTAACATCTGTTCATTATAGAAAATTTAGCAAATATACAGAAGTAGAAATAGGAAATAAAAACATCCCTCAAGCTAACCAGAGATGATCATTTACATTTTGACATACATCCTTAATGACAAAGGATATAACTGTTAATAGTTTGACACCCTATTGTGGTTTCACAATCTGCATTCCCTCAATTCCGGAGGATGGAAATGCATCCAGAGTCTTTGTTCTTATTACGGCTATATTCCCCTTCCTTAAGACAGCAGGTAGCAGGTGATGTTCAGTAGTTTTTACACATTTAGTATTGGGGTTTTGTTTGTTTTGGAGACCCTTGATTAAAAAAACAAAACTAAGTAAACAAAAATGAAACCTTACATATATACCCTGATGTGAAATCTGCTCTGATTGGTGGGGCACAGGGTAAGGCTAATCAATCTGCCCTCCCAGCTCTAGGAAGAGTCTGAAAATCAGGGTCACAGGGTTCACCAGCCAACTCCTGGCTCTTAAGTCCATGTCACACAAAGAGATGGCAGAAAGCACACTTGGGCTCGGCCAGCCTTCAATAGGAGACCAGCTGTCTGCAAGCTTGTCTGCACACAACAATCATCTGGGCTTCTTTAGAAACACCAAAGCCCAGGCCCCATCTCAGATCAATCAAATCACAGACTCTGGAGTGGAGCAGGCCCCAACAGTTTCTGAAGCTCCCTAGATGATTCTAATTGGTAGCCAAGTGTGTAAACCTTTGATTTATCTTCCTCTAGCCAGCTTCCCCACCAGTAAGTAACTATGGCACAGTTATATCAGAATCATACATGATGTTTCTGAACAGTGGTCACCCAAAGAAAAAAGAATCATAAATGAAAAATAGTCTTTAAGTCATAAGGAGCACTCAGAGACCCCCCCACATAAAGATGACGGAGTCAGCTGATATCTGACTTGCTTGTCAGTGTGCTTATGTCAGTGTGCTTATGTCAGTGTGCTTTTCTCTATTTACAGACAGGGAAATGGAGGCCCAGAGAGGTTTACCAACTTGCCCATGGTCACACAGCTGGTAGGGGGCAGGGCCCAAATTCTAATCTACATGCTGCTCTGGCCTCCAGGGCCTGTGCTGTCTACGTTATGCCAGTTCTTGGGGGTGGGAAGAGAGAAGATAAACAAGCAAAACCAAACATACATCACAATTAGAGCGATCTACCACCAATGCAGAAGAAGTATGATTGTCAACAATTAAAATTATACCCAGAAGGGAAACAGTATCAGAACAGTCCAGAGGAGGCTAGAATAACGGTGGGAGTATACATGAAGTAAGTCCAGGAGTTAATGATTTCTTTTTCTCTTTTTTTTTTGAGACAGAGCCTCAAATTATGGCCCTGTGTAGAGTGCAGTGGCATCACAGCTCACAGCAACCTCCAAATCCTGGGCTTAAGAGATTCTCTTGCCTCAGCCTCCCAAGTAGCTAGGACTACAAGTGCCTGCCACAATGCCCAGCTATTTTTTGGTTGTAGTTGTCATTGTTGTTTGGCAGGCCCAGGCTGGATTTGAACCCACTAGCTCTGGTGTATGTGGCTGGTGCCTTAGCTGCTTGAGCTACAGGCGCCAAGCCCAGGAGTTAATCATTTCTAAAGATGGGTGACGGGTAGCTGGGGTTCATGATACTGTTTCATCTTTTTTTTTTTCTGAGATGTTCCAAAATAAAACCTTAAAATATCTATAACACATTTTCTATACTACAGGCATTACTGTTATCTGTCATTTAGCTGAGTTCCCCTTTCCGAATGCTGGAACTGTGTCAGCTTGAGCAACCTGTCTTCTTCCTTTTTTTTAAATAGTGCACTAGTCCATGTAGGTGATTCTGTGCAACACTGTTTCATCATCTGGGTTGGGCAAACTAGCTCCTGGCCCCTACATCATACCACATGGCCCCTGTGCCTCTCCTCTACACCTCCCCAGATGCCCCCAGCAGTTCCCTCCACATGAGGGATGCTCAGGAGCATCGCAGGCAAGCCCCCTCACAAGCCTCTTTCCTACAGCTGGAAACCTGAGTTGGTGCTGTGAGCCGTGTGAGGAATGCACAGGGGCAGGTGCACTAACAAAGGGCGGGCGTCTGGGTTCCCCTGTGGTTGCAAGTGATACACAGTGTCCTTCAGAGGGGTGGGCTTGACTTAACAGCAGTTTCACGTTTTCACAAGTGTACCTTTCTAAAAATTAGTTTATATCACGAATAAGAAAGCGCTAATTTTATTATTACTACCAGTCATAAAGCGATGTGGCAAAGAGGGACGAGACCATTTGCACAGAACAGGTAATGGCCAAAAAACCATGTGGGAGGGCTGCCCAAGACTCAATATGAATCAAAAGACAAGAAAATCCCCCTTCTCTTGTGGGGCCAGGGCCTTTAGCCCTAAGAGCATTCACTGAAAAATCACAGACATGAGGCAGATTAACAGGAGAAAAAGCATACAGATTCATTTAACGTGCACACGTAAAAGCCTGCAAAATGAAGCCCCAAAGATACAGGGGAAATTGTCTATTTTCATGTTTAGGTTCAACAAAGTATGGACAGCCATGTGGAAATAGGTTTGGACAAAATGGGTGTGATCTGGTGTTAACAGACTGAGTGGGGAAATCCAGCAAGGCCTGTTTGTCTGGATTCCTCTTGGCTTTTCTGAGCATGCCTGCCTTCCTTTGGGGTGTGGGGCAAGACCCTCTCAGGAATGGGGGGGAGGGGTGTCTTATGACCTCAAATAAGATGACCAGTTTTTATACAGGACATTTTTAGGTTTTTGGCTGGCTTTTTTTTTGGCGGGGGGGACAGAATCTCACTGTGTCACCCTCAGTAAAGTGCTGTGGCATCACAGCTCACAGCAACCTCAAACTCCTGGGTTTAAGAGAGTCTCTTGCCTCAGCCTCCCAAGTAGCTGGATTATAGGCACCTACCACAACGCCTGGCTATTTTTTGGTTGCAATTGACATTGTTGTCTAGCAGGCCCAGGCCGGGCTCAAACCCACCAGCTTCAGTGTATGTGGCTAGCACCCTGCTCACTGAGCTATGGGTGCCAAGCCAGTTTTTGGCTGGCTTTAAGGAAAAGGGATTCTGGGTTTTGGGGGAAGAGGGATTCTAGATTCTATGGCTACTCTTAATGGAACAGAGATAAAAGGGCAGTAGAAGGTCAGAGAAAAACTTCTTTTTGAGGCAGCTTCCAACATGTTCCTTATGGCGTGTTGTTTTCTGACCCCCAATATCATATTTTAGAGGCAATAAAATTCCTTCAAAACCTTTCTTTCAGGTGGCGCCTGTGGCTCAGTGGGTAGGGCACCAGCCTCATACACCGAGGGTGGTGGGTTCAAACCTGGCCCCGGCCAAACTGCAACAAAAAATAGCCAGGTGTCGTGGTGGGTGCCTGTAGTCCCAGCTACTTGGGAGGCTGAGGCAAGAGAATCGCCTAAGCCCAAGAGCTGGAGGTTGCTGTGAGGGCACAGCACTCCACCGATGGCGACGAAGTGAGACTCTGTCTCTACAAAAACAAAAACAAAACCCTTCTTTCAGTCTGGATTTAATATTTGTGTACTTAGAAGCTCCATAATAAGATTATGTATCCTAGACATTTAGTACCATGCCTGGTACATAATAGGCTTTGAAAACTATTTGTAGAATGACAATGAAAGTCTCATTCTGAGGTAAGCCACCAAGAATGAATGGAGCTTTCACCACAAGGGGGCGCCATAGTTCACTATGACAGTATTTTTAGGGCTGAACTGATGTCATTTTTCCTTCTTTCTCAAGTCCCTCAAGATTCTGAAATCTACCATAATCAAAAATGAGCTGGTCCCTACTCAAGGAAGGAGATCTGGATAGCTACACAATCCTCAAATATAGAAAATTTAATGTTGCTACAATATTATTATCTAATATACAAGCCACAGTAAAATCTCACCCATCACCCTGTGTTGCCTTTCATAGCAATTCTCCCTACCCAACCCAGTATTCTCACACTGAATGTAGTGGTCATGTCTCTTTAGTTGTCATTAATCAGGG